TGCGGGCAGGCTCCGTGTCAGCGGCCTGAGCTGCGCTTCTTGCTTCCTTGCAGGGTGTCTTTTATGAATAATCAAAAGCCGCAGAAGCCGACGCTATCAGGCCAGCGTTTTAAAACTAGAAAAAGAGGTAAGCTAGCCGCAGTGCACGTATTGCCAGAACCTGCTGTCGGTGCTGTGTGTGTGGTGCCCAGTAGAAAGTCAGTTTCTGTCAAAAAAACCCTCATGCATTTATGTTCTTACAAATGTTTTAAATGAGACCATGCTGAATACAAAGTCTTGAGGCTAACCAGGTGCTAGAATGTTCTCTGTACTAACAAAAAATATTTGTCAGTAAGAATTGTAGCTGAATTTACTATGGTAACCATGTCTTGAGAAACATTTAGTCTAGAACTGTATTGAGTGTGCTTAGCCTGAAAGCAGAAGTATCTAGTACCCTTGAGTTACAGGGAAACTCTAGTCCAGGCTTGTTGCAGACTAATACATACATCTAAGGAGCGTCTAATCTAGTAGGAATGTCACTGTTAGCCACTGGATAAAAGTTACATTGTCCCCTTAATCCTATAAGAATAGCTGATTTAAATTTAAAAAAAAAACCAAACACACACAAAAAAAAGACCAAAATCCCCCACCACACACCCAACCAACCAAAAAAAAAAAAATCCTAAAGTGTGGAATGTGCAAGTGTCTATCTCTGTACGTGCATAGTTACTCCCATAAGAAGAATTAGTGACTGAAGAAGAGGTATGGTTAATTTAGTATTTTGGTGGTATGTTTTTTAAACCTAAAGAAGTGGAGACAGCTCTTAGAGTTTCTGTTTAACATTGTTTTACTAATACACTAGTAGTGTTCCAGCTCAAACTGACAGCATTAAGGATGCTGTACATACTGAACTAGTAATTAAGTATATGTTGACTTACAGAACCTATTTTAATGTTAAAGTAGAAGTACCTTGAGAAACTGTTGAAGTGAGAGTTGGATTTAGTCTGTCCAGATGAAATGCTAGCATTCTGGGGTTTTTGTCTCTTTTTAAGCATTTAACCGTAGTTTGGCTGCCATGCAACTCTGCAGTAACAATGAGCTTCATGGATCTGTCCTGGGAAATAACTGATCCAGTATTTCCAGACTTTTGCCCAACTGTTACCAAAGCGTTGATACTTGAGTTGAATGTAAGGACACTAGTATGTCACTTACAGAAAGGTTGCTAACAGGTGGTAACAAAACTGGCTAAGCTGTTATAGATGGCACGCAAAGTAAGATCTGCAGCTGAGTTCTGTTTCTTTGGAAGCTTTCCTCTCATGGTTTGCATAATCTTAAGGACAAATTGAGATGAGTAAAGTTGAAGACCTTTTCCATTTAAGGGTTTTTGTTAGTTACATGAGTGGATTTGTTGCATATTAACTATGCCCTACCTATGGTGAAAAACAAGGCTCTGATCAACTGTCGCATCTCAACTGAAGAAGCACATGTTCTGTTTTAACAACAACAAAGGTTGTGAGAGGCCCAAAGGGCTGAAATGGAACATGAGTAGTGGAGTCAAGTGTACAAAATTCTGGGGACACGCATTAAGAACTGCCTTCCAGCGTGTAGCTAAGCCTCTCTTTTTGGAGGGAAACAGTGATCTAATGTGTTAACAGGGTGCAAGAATCAGACTGAGAAAGTCAGATTAGAGCCATCTAATGTTCATCACAAACAACTGTTCTTAGTGAAAGTACTGTAAGAATTCAATTAGAGATAACTAAGGAATGTTTTAGCTTTTGATAGCCTCATCCCCCAGCAGTGACTGAATAGGGGAGTAAAAACAATAAAACTTCTTACTGCTATATTGGCCATTGAAATTAATCTTAGGCTACACTTAGCCCACTGTTTGTGCTAGTTAATACCAGCTGTCTTGGAAGACTGGAATGATCTCAGCTCTGTGTAACTTCAGGCCTGCAAGTGCAGGGTTTTGGGGTGTTTTTTATTTAGTTGAATTTTGTTGGGTTTTTAATAAGCTTTTTTAATAAACTTTTAAAACCAAGCAGCTGTGTGCAGCAACTTCATTTCAACGCTTTTTCTTTACAGATGAAAAAGAGAGGTTTGACCCTACTCAGTTCCAGGACTGCATTATTCAAGGTTTAACTGAAACTGGCACTGACTTGGAGGCAGTAGCAAAGTTTCTTGATGCTTCTGGTGCAAAACTTGACTATCGCCGCTATGCAGAAACACTTTTTGACATCCTGGTGGCTGGCGGAATGCTGGGTAAGTCCCTTTGAGGCTGCTGTCAGTCTTCATTCACTTAACTCTGCAAAAGCTCACAGTTTTCTTTCAGTGTAAAACCTTTGCTAAAGAGGCCATTGAGTGTATAGAGCAGAGTTTAAGTTATCTGTGTTAAACTATCTGACCATCTTAGTAACTGAGCAATTGGATTACTGTAGAAATACTCTGTATACTCTGCTGCAGTTTTGCTTGAGTCAGTTTGCATTCTTCAAAGCGCAGACTGTACAAGCTTGGCTTAAAGGAAAAATCTATTAGATTTAATTAATTTTTTTTTTAACCAGGAGTGGATCTTGACTCTATAGTCAAGTTAACTTCTGCTGATGTGAGATGGATGAATGCTTGTTTCAGGCATGTGGTCTGTGGCCACAAGGCCAACGGAGTTGCCCTGAAAGATTCTGACCTGATCCTGTGTTTTGTGCACCCTTCCCTGTTATTTTGGAAAGTAATATTGTTTACAGAAGAATCTGATATGATTAGTCTTGGAAATGCTATTACAGATAGTTTTGTTGTTGGCAATAGTGAGGTCATGGGCTCTAGCAGATAATCGGGAGTTAGAAATGAGAGGGTGGTCGAGTCAGCAGAAAACACAGGGAACTGAGGAAGGGAAATGAGATGACAAAAGGTCTTGTAAACTTATGTGCACACTGCGTGTAAAGAACAAAGAATGAAACATGCTCACTGACCAGGTAAGAAGTAGATGAAGCTAAATGAGATTCAAAAGTAGTTTAAAAAAAAAGTGACACTTCTAGATTTAGACTTTACATTTCTTACTTGACTGAATACTGCTTAGTGAGAAGGGGTTCAGATGGCAGGGACTCATTTAAAATGCAGGCTGTGAAGAGGACCCTTTATGTTGTCTGCCTAGATTGAAAAAAGTCTGTCTAGATTTTAGCATTTTTATGCAGTAGTTGAGGGGGGAGACTTAAATGAGAAATTTACAGAAAATCTTCTGCAAATGCCAGTGTAACAGAAATAGAATTCAAATGACCTAAATGCATTGGGGGAGGAGAGGAAATACGTGATTCTGGGCCACAGTCAGACTGTAGATGGCACTTCTGCTGGGGCCGGGGGGCTGGTTTGGTGTGTCTGTTGCGTGTTCAGGTGGGCTTCACACTGATACTGTAGAAATGTCAGGTGACTTGCTCAAAAGCAAGGATTTCAGAATGCTTTAACTTCATGCAGGCTTATCTGAAAGCTGTGTATTGGAACAGTGTTACTTAGACTCAGGTTACTGTGATGTTTCTTTTGGCAAGAGGCTCTTTTGCTGATGTTAGGAGAGTTGGTAGCACGAGTAAGTAAACTTGTCTGCCACATGGAGCATCGCTGCTTGAAAGTGTTAATGCACAAATTGTTACAATCTGTGGGTTTACTTTCAAGAGTCTTAATTAGTACATGCTGTGTTGGGAAGTGTTCTTTCTAGGAATGAGGGGGAAGGGAAAAATGCATTGCTGCATTAATGGTGGTAGAGGAATCCTTTACTCAACTCTCTGTAACAAGTAGCTAAGTAGACTACCTTTTGATCTTTAGTCAGACAAGGCCAAAATAAAAACTGGCATCCTGTTGCTTTACCAGCTTTTTAACATTCTTACCATTAAGGTTTATTTCCATCTTTAACTCATTTTTCTGACTAATACATAACAAAAGGATCTCCCTTATATGTAGGATGGCATAGAAATCAGTGATGAGGTATTCTGGCGCTGGAGTTGGTGACTTGGAATTCACCCTAGTTAGTGAAGCAGCCTGGCTACCAGTTAAATGCTTGTATTAAACTGAAGAGGAATGGTGAAGAAGCATCTTCTAATGACCAGCTAAAAAGCTGAAGTGCTTTTCAAGACCGATGTTTTAAGCTCATCTCAGGGGTACTGAATGTTGAACATGCATCTCTGTGTTTCATCTCCTGTTGTGACTTACTCTGTTACCTACAAGACACTTACAAAGCAGCACTATTGCAGCAGACACTAAAAAGACACCTGCTAGGATTAAGCAGCTTTAGTGGCTTCCTTTAAGGGAAGAGGAACTCATATGGTCATGTTAATTTATCCGTATGTAAACCAGATGCATTGCCAATCCATTTAGCTGTAGGGGGTCAGAATATTTAAATGTTCATATCTAAGCTACCGATTTTAAAATTCCACTACAGCAGTGGAGCAGATGGAAATGTAGGAGTGTCTTCAGTGATCTAGTGTCCATCATGAAAGGACAACATGGTGGATGTTATGAGTATTGGAATTCTTACTGTGGAGACTACTCAGTACTTTCATTGGGGAGTAATACCACTAATGCTGAAACCCTTCTTTAGCCCCAGGTGGTACCCTGGCAGATGACATGACACGCACAAATGTCTGTGTATTTGCAGCACAGGAAGACCTTGAAACCATGCAAGCATTTGCTCAGGTTAGTTCTGAAATGAGTACAATTTAACTTAAACTGTTTTGTGGTCGAAAATGAAATGTTTGTGTAGTTGAAAGTTTAGGTGAAAGTAATGCATGGCTTTAAGAAGCTTACTAGAAGAGGTACAAGTAGCACTGTTCTAAGCTAAAAGTGCTCTAAAGGGTTCAGACCATACTGAACTTGATTTTTTTTTTTTTATTTCTAATTAAATGATAGTTCAGAGCAAAAAATAATACATGCTGTATCTTTTTAGGTTTTTAACAAGCTAATCAGGCGTTACAAGTACCTGGAGAAGGGCTTTGAAGATGAAGTCAAAAAGGTATGGAGTAGTTCCTTATGAGCAGGCAAATAAACCTTCAGATTCTGCTAGTTAATTACTCTATACAGAAGAGTTTTATCGTACAATGGGTTATTAAAATAGAACACTTAAGATCATAGAACACCAGGTTGGAAAGGACCTCAAGGATCATCTGGTCTAACCTTTCTTGGCAAAAGCTCCATCTAGACCAGATGGCCCAGCACCCTTCCCAGCCGAATCTTAAAAGTGTCCAATGTTGGGGAATCTTCCACTTCCCCGGCGAGATTATTCCAAAGGCTGATTGTTCTCGTTGTGAAAAAATCCCAGTCTGTGCTGCACTCCTGGATTATGTTTTCCTGGGTGCAAGACTTCACATTTGTCCTTGTTGAATATAAAGTTCTTGTTAGCCCATTCCTCCAGCCTATCCAGGTCTTCCTGCAGGGTGACTCTCCCTTCTGAAGTGTCTGCTTCCCCACTCAGTTTGGTATCATCCCCAAATTTCATCGGAGTGCACTTGATCCTATCATCCAGATCACTTTTGAAGATACTAAACAGCATTGGGCCTGGTATCGATTGCTGGCGCACCCCGCTTGTGACAGGTGGCCAGATCAAAACAGAACTATTTACCACCGCCCTCTGGGTGCAGCCTGTCAGCCTGTTCCCACCCAGTGCACGGACCACTTGTCTAGACCAAGGTGTTTACAGAAGAACAGCTAGCTTGTATGAGTAGTAGATTCCCCGTGAACTAGTGCTTTTGCTAGTTGAATGGCTTCATTGAAATGAGTGTCTTAACATGAAGGCAGTAGCCAAACTTCAGTGAGGTGGTAGTTTTATGACAACTTTTCTTACTTCCTCTTGCAGTTGCTGCTGTTCCTGAAAGGGTTCTCAGAGTCTGAGCGGAACAAACTGGCCATGTTGACGGGTATTTTGCTAGCCAACGGAACACTTAATGCATCAATTCTCAACAGTCTTTACAATGAGAACTTGGTTAAAGAAGGTAAGGGTTGCCCAACTCATTCTTTAGGGAAGGATGGTGGGGACGGAACCATGACAAGTAGGTGGAAATTGTGATGACAGTACACCCTTGCAGCTTACTAGTTTCATCTGGTGATAGATTTACTACAGGATTAGCAAATCCTGCCTCATAACATGGAAGGTCTTGCTAAGACTTTAGAAAACTAGCCTTTTCAAAAACCTTGTGGTTAGGACTTCCCCGCATGACGCTGAGGCTGCTGTCACTAGTGTTGCCCAGCAAGGCAGCACTGTATTTTGGAGAGGGACCTTTCAGGATGTAGAAGATGTGTCATGTCTTCAGGTTCCTTCTTAAATTGCAGCAAGGAGAGCTGAGTTTAGTACAGGGAAGCCTTCATGATGCTGAGTGGTGAGAAAAGTCTGACATGCCAGAGGTGGCAGTATCCTCAGGCAGAGGTACTGCAGGCTGCGCTGGGGCTGCCTCTGGGGACGGCTGCTGCGGCCTTGAGCAGGGGTCTGACAAATTGGTGCCCTGGACTCTCAGGCCTTATCATTCCCTCTGTTTTGAATTTCAGTAATAATACTGCTATTCCTGTTGGGCAGGTGTTTCTGCAGCTTTTGCAGTCAAGCTGTTCAAATCATGGATAAATGAGAAAGATATTAATGCAGTGGCTGTCAGTCTTCGTAAAGTAAATATGGATAACAGGCTGATGGTGAGTACCACTGAAATTACTGAGTTGCTACTTAAGCTAGTTTAGTAAACGGCATTTATCAGTGGATTAAGCAACATGCATTTCTCTTGTGAAAGAGTTGTTGTAAACTTTTGTTTTTTAGGAACTCTTCCCAGCCAACAAACAAAGTGTTGAACACTTCTCCAAGTATTTCACTGAAGCAGGACTAAAAGAACTTTCCGAGTATGTTCGGAACCAGCAAACCATAGGAGCTCGGAAGGAGCTGCAGAAAGAGCTTCAGGAGCAGATGTCACGGGGAGATCCGTTCAAGGATGTAAGTGTGTGTAGACAAGGTGTAGGGGGTTTTTCTTTCTTTTTTTCTTTTTGAATTTAGCTCAATTTATCTGAAATACAACAGCATGTATCTTCAGATTAGTGCCTAATTAAATACTGAGCTTAAACAACTGCTCTCACTAAGAACTTAGGTTCGGTATTAGCTTCATAGTCTTTCCTTAATGTTCTGAATCCTGCTGTATGATCAGGGGGGTTGTTTGTGGTTCTGAAGGCTTCTAGGTTGCCTTTAGAGCAGAAGTTTTAATTTAGCTTAGTGTTGTATATGGCCTATGTGCTGACTCTTTTATTGTAACTGGCAGATAATCTTGTATGTGAAAGAGGAGATGAAGAAAAACAACATCTCAGAACAGACTGTGGTAGCCATAATCTGGTCGAGTGTCATGAGCACAGTGGAATGGAACAAGAAGGAGGAGCTGGTAGCAGAGCAAGCCATTAAGCACTTGAAGGTATTGCAACTTAAGTATAGACTTTTGTACCTGTTGGGTAGGGCTGGAGCTTCCCCATTTCTAGCTCCCTTTTAAATGACTTAAAACCTACTAAACACACCCCCCCCCCCCCCCCGCAATGCAGAAACAGCATTAGAGAGGGAATTCTTCCCTTTGTAACGGGTTATTACAGTCCATGTTACTGAGGGAAAAGCAGTATCACCTCTGCAGAAGCACTCTGGGGTGGGGGTGTTGCACATTTCGAAGAGGTGGCTGATGGAACTGTGTAAAACTGGTCTAGTCAGGTGATGAAGGCGCAGTGCTCTGTGTGTGCCAATTTGTCATTCCTCTTACAGCAATACAGCCCTCTACTTGCTGCCTTTACTACTCAAGGTCAGTCAGAGTTGACTCTTCTGTTGAAGATTCAGGAGTATTGTTATGACAACATTCACTTCATGAAGGCCTTCCAGAAAATAGTGGTGCTCTTCTATAAAGGTAACTTCTGTGGGGTTGTAGGTTTGTGGGGCTTTTGGGGAGTGGTTGTGGGGGTTTTTTGTGGTGGTGGTTGTGGGTTTGTTTTGTTTTTTTTTAAGCTGTAGTTGCAGAATGCTTCAGTTCTGGTAAGACCTTTAGGGAAGATCAGTACTACACTATTGTATTTTGCAAAGAGAAGGCAGAAAATTCTTCAGCTCATGAAGCTGGAGCCGTAAAAACCAAAGGTGGATGCAGCTATTCTTGGCACACAGGGGAGGTACTACTCTAGACAGGGGGGATGCTGCCTGTCTACTGCAGTTTGAGCTGTGGTAGATGAAAGCTGAATTTAAATTTTTTAAGTTAAGGAAAGATAGGCAATAGTGTATCTGACCACTGACTGAACAGCCAGAGACAGCCCATCAAGGTGTTCTGGACTGCTTCTAGACTTGCTGTTACAAGGTGTTATTGAAAAAAACATGCTTGTGCATGTGTGGAACCACCACAGGAATGTAAGGAAGCTTGTTGTTAAACTGAAAACTACATTGTACTTGTAAAATTAAAAAAAACCCCAACACTTCCTGTGTTGTACCTTGGACTTTAGAGAATTTGCATCCTTTCTTAGCTGTTGACTGCAGCTTTCCTTAGTGTGGCATTTCAGAGAGCTGTGAAATACTCAAGACTTGGTGGGGAGTCAAAGCACAGCTCCTAGATGCAGTGTTTGGAAAACCCGGGCAGCCACTCTGAAATGCTTGGTGCTCAGAATGTCAAACAGGAGGCATTCCTAGGGCATGTATGCCCAGCCATGGAGGGTGGGGGGCTTCCGGGGGGGGAGGAAGTCCGGGGTTCTCAGGAGCTGGTGTTCGGTGGCTTGCTGTAATACTGCTCCTGCATGTCTTACAGCTGAAGTTCTGAGTGAAGAACCCATCCTGAAGTGGTATAAAGATGCGCATCTTGCAAAGGGAAAG